TCCCAAACAAGCTGCAGGAGTTTATGTGTAAATTTTGTTGGTGCTCTGGTTTTAGGAAATTATTTAGAGATTAATATAATAATATATAATAGTGCAATAATTGGTGGTTAAAGCAACTTGCTTTAAAAAGAGTGCAACTCGAGAGGTACACAAAAGTCAAAACTTTGTCATATTGTGTCGTAAAATGTATAGTTCGGTTTGGCTTAGATTCTCACAATATTGTAATTTCTAGTTCTAAACAATTTGGGAAATCTTCCTCGACAATGGTTAGTTCGCTGTTTGGCTTAGATTATCACAATATTGTAATTTCTAGTTCTAAGCAATTTGGGAAATCTTCCTCGACAATGGTTTTTTCGCCCCCTCTATAAATGCAATCACCCTTCGCTCACATTTTGAACAATTAGACCCCGTTCGACATTCATTCTTTGTGAAAAATAGAGTTTTGAGTAGTGATTTTTAGAAAAATGTGTAGTTAAAAAGTACGAAAAATTATGAATTTATGTGTAGAATATTTTAATGTATGAATGTGTAATTAAAAATGAGTGTATAAAAAAAAATGAGTATGAAAATAATGGTTGTCAAAACATAGGCTTATTTTATAAATTTTGTGAGTTTGACAGAATATGTTCCTCATTTATTGTAAGTTCACATAATTTTTGCCCAGATATTATCATCAGAAACAAGATATGTTAATTCATTAAAAGTTAAGGGTAAATATACTAAAAAGAAAATTTAGCAAAATTTGGGAACCTTCATCATGTTAATAATAATGATAATTTAGGTAATACCACATAAATCTCATGCAGTAATCTAAAAAAGATAATTCTTGTAATGGATCGTCTATGGCGGCGGCTATGCCAAATATTTTTTGGTCATTATATTTTGAATAATGTTTGATGTACATAATAAATATCATGATGGTGTCCATAATGCTCAAGTAGCGTCCATCATCATTATGTTCAGGGAGGATAATTCTCATATTTTAGCCCCTGTTTGTTTCTATTTTAAAAGGTTTTTGGTCCGTTGGCAATGCAATGCCGTCTTTTTTGACTTGGTATCCCACGATGGGACACATTTCAGGACGGCAACAATCATATAAGCATTCTGCGGTTGAAAAAATGGAAAACATACAGGCACTACAAAATTAATACATTTTTTCCTTTGTTATTTTTCAATAACACATTCATCAATAAAATAATATTATATTTAAATTCAAAAATTTTGTTTTTTTAAACAATACAATCTCCAAAAAATCACTATTCGAAAAATACATTTTTCTTCGAAAGTTAATTTTAATGGAGCCAAACCGAGACTTAGCCCTCGTTTGGCCCCCATTTTCTTTCTCATTCTTTATTTCTCTCTCTGTTATTTTCATTCATATAATATTCCATAAAATAATATTACAAGTAAATCGAAAACTTTTCATTCCTTTCAACCAGAAATTAAAAAAAATACTATTCCAACCATTAAAATTTGAAAAGAATAAGAGCCAAACAAGGGGCTTAATATTCAGCAATCAGTTTGTTTTATGTCACACTACGGTACATCATGCTCAAAATACGAGGTCAAGCATTGTTTGTATGTGGTATAACTTTTATTTGATAGGGATTAAAATTAGATTATGATATAAAATTGATGAAAGGTGTAATTGAAAACTCATGGATTCCACGAAATATGTGTTTAAAATTAATTGTCGATTTTAATTTAAATAAAAATATAATTTTAATTCTACCAAACAAGAGCGTAATACATATCGTTCGCAATATCAATTGGAGTTATTTTCAATAATCAAATTGTAGATAATATAGCCTATGTTAGGCTCATGTTTATAAATACTTTAGTTATTTTTTATTCATATATTTCAAAAGATCCACAAATATTACTTACTTATTTAATCATTCATTTCTATATATTCATCATTTAAATAATTTATGAACACTTTTCAAACGGGATTATAGTAATTTTTGAGTGTATCGGATACCCCATTTTATAATGCTTAAGGATAGTTTTCATCATGTAAGCCGTTCTGTATATTGTCATTGATAGCATGCTCGAACTACTAAATTAAATTAACCAAAGTGGAAGTGGATATGTGGTTTTAAGTGAGATGAACATCGTTAATTACATTAATTTTCACCCAAATTTTGAGTAATTATGACAATAATCGCTGTAATTATTTTCTTATATTGATAGTCACTCAAGTTTCTAACTATTACAGTGCTGATTACTCGGTAAAAAATTTAAGAATAATGCTATGTGACACGATTAGTTATATAATACCTGGCCTTATAATACCAATTTAAATGACATACAAATGATAGGACATCTTAAATATAATTAATTTTTTAATACTTAAAGGTGATGGAATCAATTAATTACACTTGCATTGACGTGTTTAGCACCAATTATGCTAGATAACGTTAAGGGTCGGTTTGGTAGTGATATTGAGAATTGATTTTTTCATCGTTAGAGAGAAAAGTGGGGGCCACATGCAAGTGAAAAAGTCAAAAATGATGGCTGGAATGATGAAATAAAAATCAAAAAATCAATATTTTAAGGTGAAAAATCACTACCAAATCGGGACTAATAAAATATCTAACATTAAATCCTACATAATCCCATTAAGCCCCCGTTTGAACCACAATACTGTAAAAATAATAATGAAAAATATAGTTGTTATGAGTTCCACACAAGAGATAAAAAGTCAAATGTGGTGGCTTGATATAATGAATAACAATCATATTTTTCATTTTAGCGAGAAAATAATGAAGCTCAAACAGGGCCTTAAGTACCACCGTGTCACCAAATGAAGTTATTTATTACTTGAAGTCAACACATTCTTGAAAATCACACCCCAAACCAAGGGGTGAAAATTAGGACAAAGCACTCATACACTAACAAGTCAAGTTGGCTTTGCTTGGCTTGAATAATGTCCTAGCGAGCGAACGCCAGTTGAGTAGCGTTGAGCTCATCACCGACTCACGAGTTTGCCTAGTTAAAGCATACGGGCCTCATCCATGCATGCTTCTACTCAATGACAGTATGACGTTAAAAAAACAATAATTATTTTAAATTCAATTTTTCAAAATCTTTCTTTTTCCCTCAAATTTTTGCCCGTGAATATGCATGCTTAGAGAAAGTAATTTCCTCACTGTTTCACACTTTAATTTCCTTTTTCATTTTATTTTGAGCATTATTTCCTTTGTTATCTCTCCTGTTTTACCCTTAATAGTAATATTCAATGTTTAGGTGTTTGTAATGACTACAGCAATTTTGTGTACTGTTTGGGGGCCATAAATTTGGATCTTGACTATATAAATGTCGATATTTGAGAAGTGTCATAGTTCAAGAGGCAATTCCGGTGTGAGCATTAGACAATCATTATTGCCTCTCCCATTATGACACTTGTCAAATATTAGAACATTTATCCGATCAAAACTTTAAAAATATATGGCTCAAGGTGCTATACAAAATCGATTAAGTCATTATAACCACCTTTAATTATTTTATGCAATCTACCTCTATATAATTCAAATTGAAGTATATTGACTCGAACAAAAATTGGCTGGATCGATGGCCTCCCATAAAATTCGGAAACTGTTGCATTGAAAGAAATAATTCAAAAGAGAGACTCGAGGAAGTAATAAAGAACGGTTTTAGAATGTCTCGGGAGCACATCAGGGGCGAATCCAGCATTGTAGTTCAGCTAGGTCGGAGAGATTGACCGCTGACCCGTGACCGTTGACTAATGACCATTGACAATCAACGATAACAAATATAATTCAATACATATGTAAATGCACTAAAACATAAAAATTATATACATATGAAAATATAATTCAATACAACCCAAAAAACTAAAAAAAAAATGTACGATACTATAAACTTAGACGACAACATTCTACGGGGTCTTATAATTTTCTAAACCTAAATTCCCAAATCACAAATCAAATATCATGAATGATAAATTATAACTCATAACTAATACAACATAAATTATTCATCATAAATCACAATTCTCATTTATTCATCATACAGGGACCTCACCTCAATGCCATAAAAAATTAAAATGAAGACAAAAGTGTCGATTAACCTCAAGAATCAAGACCGGCAGTAATTTTCCCAGTTAACATAATCTGTATGAAAATTAAACTTAATCATAAAGACTTAAACTATCATCAATTTCCAACACAAGTTGAATATTTCTCACAAATCATAAAATTCCCAATTCACATATTTACAAAATTTACAAATTCTCCAATTTTCATAAATCATAATCATCACATTTAACATAACAATCAAATTAAATCATCAAAATCAAAAAGAAAAAAATAAACGTTGGTATTCGACATAATTTCTACTTGCATATTTGTTACTATAACACTAGAAAACTTTTCATTTAGAACACAAAAAAAGAAAAATAATTTGACACTAATTCACAATACGAATAATTAAAGTACAATTAGTTACCATCTCCACTTTCTTTTCTTATTTTCTAAAGAAATCCAAGTTGACAGTTTTTTCCTTCTGTTTTTCTCAATTCTGAAACTCAACGCAGCCCTTTAATCAAAATCTTCAATTAAATTATATCAAAAGAAACTAAAGGAAGAATCAATTGTTTTTTTCTTGATATTTTCAAAATTAGGAATAAATAGAATCCACCAAATTAAAATCCCCAAACAACCCACCTTAAAATAGCTCTCTCAACTTTTCAAGAAAAAAGAAACAAAACCAGAAACCCAAAGCTACTGACAAGTTACGAGGCTTTTGTGATGTTTCAGATTTGATATTCTATCAATTTTTGTTATTTTTTATTTTTTAACAAAAAATTCCGAACTTGACGTACATTGACAAGAAAGAAGAGAAACGAGAAGAAGCAAGGTGTTTTGGAGCAATATTGATAAACCTAGACAAAGGGAAGAGGAGAACCAAGGAGCTGACTTAAAAAAAGGCCCAAAATTGGGGGGGGGGGGAGTAGGCCCAATTTCCCAGCATTTTCTTCATCTTTCCTGCTGCAGCTCTGCTTTCCAAGTTTCTTCCCGGCGGACAAGCTTGCTAATGACTGCAATAATGAACATTCCGGCGGATCCAGCTAGGGTGGCCGTCCTAGCTCGCCAGTACCTGGATCTGCCACTGTGTAAGATTAGATTTACATTAATTTGGGGCGTAATTGACACATTCAATTTACATAAATGGGGCACAAATGGATTTCTAGAATTTTGGCTCAAAAATATTGGCTTCTTAAGAATTACATCTTTGCAAATTATGTAGGTAATCGGCTGAAGGAAGTTGAGAATTAATGCCTTGTATCAGTTTGACTCATTAGAATTTATGCGGTGCATGGTTATTAAAAGAATTTATGGCAATGGCAAAATCAACTAGCGGGGAGAGAGAGAACCTCTTCGCCTGCATGGAGAGTTGTCTCCTCCCTAAGCGGAGAGCGGAGAGACTCTCCACACACATAGACCTTCTCTGAGCAGTGCGGAGAGAGAGAACCTCTCCGCGCGTAGACTTTCTCTGCCATACTTATTAGTTTCAAGTTATGATATTGCTAAGTCAAACATAGCATACTATACAGAGGAATACATAATTTGAGCTCATTATGGAGATTGGCTAAACCTTTAGCAACTCAACTAAAAAAAAGCAGCCAAACACAACCTCTATCCAAGCTTGATTCAGTTAGTTTTGTTGCCCATTCCTCATCAAAGAGCAATGGGACTTCATTGAAACACTATGTTGTAAGCGTGTTTTAATGGCTTTAGGCTTGATTCTGAACACTGGGGTGTAAATCTGCAGCCATAATCGTGCACATCTGCAAACTTCGCCGTATATACTGGGATTTTATTACCAGGCGATCAGATAATAGGGTTGGTGTTGGTCCCAGAGTATTTACCACTTTGTGACTCAACTGAAAAATTCTCAAAATAGATCACAAGAAATATAAGAACACGACAAAATTTTTGGCCCAAGGCTTCGGAGGATCAGTGACATCTTCAAACGCTCTCTCTCAATTCTTTTTCTGATGACTTTGAACCTTGTGTTGTATGTTTCCTTGATTGCTTGTCATTAATTTGATGTCTAACTGTTATTTTGGAGTCTTTATTTGGAATTTCTCACAGCTTGGTTTCCTGAAAACCAGTCACCATAAGGTGTCACAGGAGAACATTGAGGAGGTGTCTGATCAACATCATCCATGTGTAGTAATTCAATCGCTGCTCCCTCGAATTTTACAAAGTTTATCAATTGATTTAAACCAAGAAAGTCACGTTGTGCATTTCCACTGTTAGAAGAAGCATCTTCAGAAATTTGTGTTCTGCACTCTACCTCAGAAATTCGAAGTACTGCAGTTCTGCATAATCCTTCTTTCATTTCTTCCCACATAGAGGGATCAAAAGCTACAATCAGATTTTTAACTTTCACATGAAAACTAGTCAACAACCATTTTACCATCTTGGCAATGGTTTTGACTCCTTCATGAACATCAACAGAAGCATTTTCCAATCCTCCATTAACTGCATCATTCTCAAGCTTTCTACAATGATGGCTGGAATAATTCTTCTTACTTTGACAGGAACTGCTAGTTTCTGATTCATCTTGAAAAATATTTGTCTGACGAGGAGTGAGCACGATCTCAAGGTCATCCACCTCAATTTCACAGCCACCATCCTTCCAAGGCATAGTTACCACTAATGAGCCAATAGATCCCTCTTTCACAGAAACAGTTGCTACATTGAACTGAAAAATAAAAGAGATGTAATGGCATTGAAATTGTTTGCATAAGCCTCAGGATAGGATGGGGGGAGGGGGGATGGTGTGTGCCTGTTCCATAAGAAATGTTAAACTGATTCATAATTTTGAATATTCTGAATTGCCAATATCATTCACCTCTTACTATTATTTCTTCTATTAATTATCAACTCTCAAAAGCTCCCAGTTTGTCAAATAACTGTCACGTTTTTCAAATTTTAGCCATCCAAGAACATAAAAATTCTCTCTAGGAGTGTGCAAATCCAACCACCCACCCGGAGAATTATAAAACAGAGGAAGAGATAAGAAAAGAAAGAATTTCAAACTCAATCAAAATTAACATTACATCAACTACTTTAGCATATGAATTAGATGCAGAATCACCATGCAGTCATGCTAATCTCCATTCAAATTAATTAACGAGTAATTTAAGTAACAGTCAATGAAACTTAGTTTAATAAAGTACATGCTATTCGAAGTAGAAAACTAACACCACGCAGCATTCACCACAAACATGTTACGTTATGGACAAATTACCCACAAGTTCACATCAAATTAACGACAATTAAAAAAAAAATCACACCTTCTGGTTTATATAGTCGACGTTGACTGCGAGATCGGAGAGCTGAATGGTGCCGGCGCTGAGCTGGACATCTAGCTGATTTAGATCAATATCTCCCAGTATAAATTTTCCTAATTTTTTCTTCAACAAGAATTTACACAACCTCTTTATCGCCAACCGGGAGAACATCGCCTCCGCCGACTTTGCAATACTCCACGTAAACATCTTTCCTGAATCTCTAAACAATTCTCTTCAATTCCAAGCAAGTTTCAATTTTTTGGTTTTTTTTTTTTTTTCAAAAATTAGGGGGTTTTGAAGTATAATATGTATATTGATAGTTATATATACGGAATTTGCTTTTTCGATGGAGGCTCTCACCTCCATCCAAGCAGGAGAAGATAGAGAGAGAAAGAGAGATTCTGGTTTCGGAGAAAAAGATTGGAAAAGTTTAGGGCGAGCCGTGCTTGGGTGGTATAATTTCGTCGGGTATGTGAAATGCTCATTTAATTATAAAATATTTCAGGCAATTTAATTGCAATAAAACTCAATCACGTTTAAGTTAAAATTACCTTGCTTAGTGGGGAATAAAATAATTTTTTAATAAATTTTGATAAAAGTTAATAAATTTATTATTAAAAAATTATGAATCCCAAAAAATATGTTTAAAATTAATTGTTGACATTGATTGAAATTAAAATTTCACCAAACAAGAACTAAGCCCCTGTTTTACCTCCATTTTGTGGTAATGAGAATGGGTGGAATAGTGTTTTTTTTAAATGAATAGTTGATAAAAAAAAAGTTTGATTTACGTGTAATTTTATTTTATAAAAGATTGTGTAGTGTAAAATAGGAAAGAGAAAAATGAAATGTAATGTAATGAAAATTAAAGGGGACCAAATGAGGGCTAAATATAAATTGAAGACGAGTTTGGGTGGTTTATTTCATAAGCAATGAGGCTAGTATAGGATTTAAGTAAATTTGTATAATAGCATCTTCAAAATACTATTTAAATACAAAATATTCTTTATTTTAAAGAATTATTGGTAAAAAATATGTTTAAAGAGACTCTTTATTTTAACATTTTAAAATTGAAAATTACTCTTTATTCTTAATGTACAATGAACTTATTTAATAAATTGAAAATTTTAATAATATACTTCTTAAACTATACAAATTATATATTAGCTCCTATTTGGTAGGAATTAAAATCAAAATTTTAGTATATTTTTATAAAATTTGATGAAATGTGAATTAAAAAGTCGTTCCCGTGAAATATATTGTTAAAAATAATTATTGATTTTAGCTTAGATCAAAATCTAAATTTTAATTTCTACCTAACAGACTTAAATTGATTGAACATTGATATAAAAAAAAATTATGATAAAATTAAAATAACAGAAGAAATAAAAAAAATGTTTATTAAGCAAGGTAAAATAAGGAGACAAAATAGAAAATATTGTTGAAGTGCATAAAAATTTTGACTCTCTAAATTTGAAGATGCTCTTTACAATGCATTAGATGTTTTTTATTAAAAAAAATCTATTGAAAATGCTCTAATTATATATTACATTTTGTGTGTTTTATGAGAATTTATAATAAGATTATTATGTGTTTGATTTAAAAGATGAGCCTTGTTTGGGCAATATAATTTCAATCATTCATGGTTTATTAAACTAAAAATTCAAGCAGAGGTCCTGAATTGAAAAATCATTTTTCATACGAAAAAAAAAAGGACTTTTTCAACAGTAAATTATTCATTAAAATCTAAAAATTTCAAAAGAAATTAGTGATTTTTGAAGATTAAATTATAAGACTTTTGTGTTGGTTTCAAAAAATAATTATGCGTGAAAGCACAAGTCCTGAGTTAAAAAATCGTACTTTTTCTATGAAATTTTGAATAGTATATAATTTATCAAAATCTGGAAATTTTAAAAATTACTTATTTGAATGTTAAATTATTTGACATTTGCGTTGTTTTCCGATCGGGACAATATTTTGTCAATTTTTATTTTTTATTTTTTATTTTTTTCATATTTAGGAGCCTGTTTGGGAGTGATTTTGAGAATTGATTTTTTGATTGTTGGGAGAAAAGTGGGGTCCACCTGTGAGAGAAGAAGCCAAATATGACGACTGAAATAGTGGAATAACAGTCAAAAAAATAATTTTTTGAGACAAAAAAGCGAAAAGCGCTCCCAAAGAGTTTGTGTAAATTTTGTTGGTGCTCTGGTTTTAGGAAATTATTTAGAGATTAATATAATAATATATAATAGTGCAATAATTGGTGGTTAAAGCAACTTGCTTTAAAAAAAGTGCAGCTCGAGAGGGTACACAAAAGTCAAAACTTTGTCATATTGTGTCGTAAAATGTATAGTTCGGTTTGGCTTAGATTCTCACAATATTGTAATTTCTAGTTCTAAACAATTTGGGAAATCTTCCTCGACAATGGTTAGTTCGCTGTTTGGCTTAGATTATCACAATATTGTAATTTCTAGTTCTAAGCAATTTGGGAAATCTTCCTCGACAATGGTTTTTTCGCCCCCTCTATAAATGCAATCACCCTTCTCTCACATTTTGAACAATTAGACCCCGTTCGACATTCATTCTTTGTGAAAAATAGAATTTTGAGTAGTGATTTTTAGAAAAATATATAGTTAAAAAGTACGAAAAATTATGAATTTATGTGTAGAATATTTTAATGTATGAATGTGTAATTAAAAATGAACGTATAAAAAAAAAGAGTATGAAAATAATGATTGTCAAAACATAGGCTTATTTTATAAATTTTGTGAGTTTGACAAAATATGTTCCTCATTTATTGTAAGTTCACATAATTTTTGCCCATATATTATCATCAGAAACAATATATGTTAATTAATTAAAAGTTAAGGGTAAATATACTAAAAAGAAAATTTAGCAAAATTTGGGAACCTTCATCATGATAATAATAATGATAATTTAGGTAATACCACATAAATCTCATGCAGTAATCTAAAAAAGATAATTCTTGTAATGGATCGTCTATGGCGGCGGCTATGCCAAATATTTTTTGGTCATTATATTTTGAATAATGTTTGATGTACATAATAAATATCATAATGGTGTCCATAATGCTCAAGTAGCGCCCATCATCATTATGTTCAGGGAGGATAATTCTCATATTTTAGCCCCCATTTGTTTCTATTTTAAAAGGTTTTTGGTCCGTTGGCAATGCAATGCCGTCTTTTTTGACTTGGTATCCCACGATGGGACACATTTCAGGAGGGCAACAATCATATAAGCATTCTGCGGTTGAAAAAATGGAAAACATACAGGCACTACAAAATTAATACATTTTTTCCTTTGTTATTTTTCAATAACACATTCATCAATAAAATAATATTATATTTAAATTCAAAAATTTTGTTTTTTTAAACAATACAATCTCCAAAAAATCACTATTCGAAAAATACATTTTTCTTCGAAAGTTAATTTTAATGGAGCCAAACCGAGACTTAGCCCTCGTTTGGTCCCCATTTTCTTTCTCATTCTTTCTTTCTCTCTCTGTTATTTTCATTCATATAATATTTCATAAAATAATATTACAAGTAAATCGAAAACTTTTCGTTCCTTTCAACCAGACATTTAAAAAAAAATATTATTCCAACCATTAAAATTTGAAAAGAATAAGAGCCAAACGAGGGGCTTAATATTCAACAATCAGTTTGTTTTATGTCACACTATGGTACATCATGCTCAAAATACGAGGTCAAGCATTGTTTGTATGTGGTATAACTTTTATTTGATGGGGATTAAAATTAGATTATGATATAAAATTGATGAAATGTGTAATTGAAAAGTCATGGATTCCACGAAATATGTGTTTAAAATTAATTGTCGATTTTAATTTAGATAAAAATATAATTTTAATTCTATCAAACAAGAGCGTAATACATATCGTTAGCAATATCAACTGGAGTTATTTTCAATAATCAAATTGTAGATAATTTAGCCTATGTTAGGCTCATGTTTATAAATATTTTAGTTATTTTTTATTCATATATTTAAAAAAATCCACAAATACTACTTACTTATTTAATCATTCATTTCTATATATTCATCATTTAAATAATTTACGAACACTTTTCAAACGGGATTATAGTAATTTTTGAGTGTATCGGATACCCCATTTTATAATGCTTAAGGATAGTTTTCATCATGTAAGCCGTTCTGTATATTGTCATTGATAGCATGCTCGAACTACTAAATTAAATTAACCAAAGTGGAAGTGGATATGTGGTTTTAAGTGAGATGAACATCGTTAATTACATTAATTTTCACCCAAATTTTGAGTAATTATGACAATAATCGCTGTAATTATTTTCTTATATTGATAGTCACTCAAGTTTCTAACTATTACAGTGCTGATTACTCGGTAAAAAATTTAAGAATAATGCTATGTGACACGTTTAGTTATATAATACCTGGCGTTATAACACTAGTTTAAATGACATACAAATGATAGGACATCTTAAATATAATTAATTTTTTAATACTTAAAGGTGATGGAATTAATTAACTACACTTGCATTGACGTGTTTAGCACCAATTATGCTAGATTACATTAAGGGTCAGTTTGGTAGTGATTTTAAGAATTGATTTTTTGACCGTTAGAGAGAAAAGTGGGGGCCACATGCGAGTGAAGAAGTAAAAAATGATGGCTAGAATGATAAAATAACGATAAAAAAATCAATATTTTAAGGTGAAAAATCACTACCAAATGGGGCCTAATAAAATATCTAACATTAAATCCTACATGATCCCATTAAGCCCCCGTTTGAACCACATTATTGTAAAAATGATAATGAAAAATATAGTCGTTATGAGCTCCATACAAGAGATAAAAAATCAAATATGGTAGTTTGATGTGATGAATAGCAGTCATATTTTTCATTTTAGCGAGAAAATAATGAAGCTCAAACAGGGTCTTAAGTATCACCGTGTCACCAAATGAAGTTATTTATTACTTGAAGTCAACACATTCCTGAAAATCACACCCCAAACCAAGTGGTGAAAATTAGGACAAGGCACTCATACACTAACAAGTCAAGTTGGCTTTGCTTGGCTCGAAACATGTCCAAGCAAGCGAAAGCCAGTCGAGCAGCGTTGAGCTCATCACCGACTCACGAGTTTGCCTAGTTAAAGCGTACGGGCCTCATCCATACATGCTTCTACTCAATGATAGTCCGACGTTAAAAAATAAATTCTTATTTTAAATTCAATTTTTTAAAATCTTTCTTTTTCCCTCAAAATTTTGCCCGTGAATAGGCATGCTTAGGGAAAGTAATTTCCTCACGGTGAAAACAATAATTATTTTAAATTCAATTTTTCAAAATCTTTCTTTTTCCCTCAAATTTTTGCCCGTGAATATGCATGCTTAGGGAAAGTAATTTCCTCACTGTTTCACACTTTAATTTCCTTTTTCATTTTATTTTGAGCATTA